GCCTACATATATAAAATATTATTATTTTGTTGCTTATTTTACCAGAATTTTATGTTAAAAATATTTTCTAAAAAAAAGTAAACAAATATACACGAAACTGTATTTTAATTTATATTTTAATTAAATTTATTCCATGGTCCATCTGAAATATATATATATATATATATATATACATATATATACTGTGTACAGTGGTGGCCAAAATTGTTAGATCAGTGCATATTTAAGAGGTTTCAGTTGTTTTTGTTGAATTGCCCATTACAATACCCGTAAAACTAACTATTGCCAGAACTACCTGCGATGGAAGGAATCTGCTGGAACATTGAAAATGAGAAAGTCTGGACATCAACACCATTGAGCAAATTTGGGGCGAGTTAGAAAATAAACTGGACAGATCTATTGTACATTCAGAGGAAAGCCTTTGGCTTGAGTTGCAGAAGGCATGGGATAACATTAATGTTGAAGTTCTGAGGAAATAATGTATATGAATTGCCCATTACAATACCCGTAAAACTAACTATTGCCAGAACTACCTGCGATGGAAGGAATCTGCTGGAACATTGAAAATAATGGACTGGCCCCCTCAAAGTCCAGACCTCAACCCCATCGAGCAAATTTGGGGCGAGTTAGAAAATAAACTGGATAGATCTGTTGTACATTCAAAGGAAAGCCTTTGGCTTGAGTTGCAGAAGCCATGGGATAACATTAGTGTTGAAGTTCTCAGGAAATATATTGACACTATGCCAGTGAGGTGTGCTGCTGCAAAAGGTGGACATACCAAATATTAAAGTTAAAAGCAGATAAAAACAGTATGACTCACTTCATCTGATATTTGTTGTGCTCAGAGCAACCATCTACATGTTTCATGAACATTATGAAATAAAATCATGTTTTGTAGGCAAAAAAGGTCAATATTTTTCAGATTTGTCAGGTGCTCTAACAATTTTGGCCACTACTGAAGATGCATACATTTGTGATCTTGAGTTGAAGCGTGTCCATGTTTTCATGAGGTTCACCCTGTCACTCTGCTCTCTCTCGCTCTCTCTCTCTCTCAGGGAATCTCCGGTTTCCGTTTCCCACCGACTGCTCGCAGGAGAAGCAGAATGGAGCGCTGGAGTCTGGCATCGTGGAGGTGTTTCCACAGGGCCGCGAGGGAAAGCCGCTGATGCTTTACTGTGACATGGAGACCGATGGAGGAGGATGGACGGTATGAATCAATCCGTCACATCACATCTTTACTAGTGGTTCAATCACCAGGTCAGTAGGAGATGAATTAGTGGTGAAGATGATTAAAAAAGGTGGAAGACTTCATGGTACATGCATAGTCACCATAAACCATATTCTACAAAAACTACTTAACATAGAAAGACTTCTCTTTCCACACACACAGTAACTAACGTCAAAAATAACCACATTTGATTTGAAGCTTTACTCACGTGTAGCACAAATTATGGTGTGGGATGAGTTGCTTGATAGCAGTTTGTTCAGATTTCTAAACATCAGTATGAGCAACAGTAATAGTGACATTGCTTAAATGTTAAATAATACTTCACAATATTCCATGAAGAGATATATTAGTTAAGCATTCACTGCTGAAGTGGCATCATGTCTGTGTTTGTGTGTCCAGGTCTTTCAGCGAAGAAAGGATGGGCAGATGAACTTCTTCAGGAGCTGGCATGAATACAGCAATGGATTTGGAGTGCTGGATGGGGAATTCTGGCTCGGTGAGAAACACACTTATCACACTCAGTTAGTTTCCTCTGTGAAGTGCCTATGTCATCATGCAGGACCACACTTCTGCGCATCTTTCTCTGAAACAGCATCTGTTACACAGTCAAGTGTAAAACAACAGTCAGGAAGGTTTGTGGTGCCCTCTAGAGGATGACATGCTTTCATCCCCCCATTTTAGGAAATGAGCAGCTTCATAACTTCACTAAGACGAGTCCAATGACACTGAGAGTCGACCTCAGAGCCGGAGACGAGTCCGTGTACGCACACTATTCCTCGTTCTCCATCGACAATGCGAAAAAACACTACACCATCAGAGTGTCTGGATATTCTGGCACATCTGGTGAGTCTATCATGAACGCCATGCGATGACAGCCATTATGTGCATGTAGGCAGGATGAGGTTGTACACCTGTAAAACTCTGCATGTATTCATGTACAGGTGACTCACTGACGTACCATAACGGATGGCCGTTCTCCACGCGGGACAGAGACCCTCAGCCGTTCATCACACGCTGTGCCATGTCCTACAGAGGTGGTTGGTGGTATAAGAACTGCCACGAGGCCAATCTCAACGGCCTCTATAACACAAACACCAACCACCAGGTAAAGCAGCTGACTTCACCCAATACATACAACCATATATATATATATATATATATATATTTATATTTAGTGCATTCAGAAAGTATTCAGACCCCCTTCACTTTTTTCAATTTTGTTATGTTGCAGCCTGATACTACAATTGTTTAAATTATTTTTTTTTCTCATTAATCTACACGCCGTACCTCATAATGACAAGGTGAAAACAGAATTTTAGAAATGTCTGTAGATTTATTAAAAAGGAAAAACTTAAATATCACATTTACATAAGTATTCAGACCCTTTACTCAGTACTTAGTTGAAGCACCTTTGGCAGCAATTACAGCCTCGAGTCTTTTTAGGTATAACGCAACAAGCTTTGCACACCTGGACTGGGGGATTTTCTGCCATTCTTTTTTGCAAATCCTCTCAAGCTCGGGCAGGTTGGATGGGGAGCGTCGGTGGACAGCCATTTTCAGGTCTCTCCAGAGATGTTCGATAGGGTTCAAGTCAGGGCTCTGGCTGGGCCTCTCCAGGACATTCACAGAGTTGTCCCTAAGCCACTCCTGTGTTGCCTTGGCTGTGTGCTTAGGGTCATTGTCATGTTGGAAGGTGAACCCTCGGCCCAATCTGAGGTCCTGAGCTCTGTGGAACAGGTTTTCATTGAGGATATCTCTGTACTTTGCTCCATTCAGCTTTCCCTCAAACCTGACCAGTCTCCAAGTCCCTGCCGCTGACAAACAGCCCCACAGCATGAGGCTGCTATGAGTACACTTTACTTTTGGGACGGTACTCTGCAGGTGATGAGCAGAGCTGGTTTCTTTCAAACATGATGAGAATCTAGAGTCTGAGGGTCCTTTAGGTGCGGTTTTGCAAATTCCAGTTGTGTTTTCATGTGTCTTCACTGAGAGGATTGAGTTTGGCCACACCGCCATAAAGCCCAGATCGGTGGAGTGTTGCAGTGATTTTTGTCCTTCTATAGGTTTCTCCCATCTGCATATATGATCATGGAGCTCAACTAGAGTGACCATCAGGTTCTTGGTCATCAGTCTAGACAAGGCCCTTCTCCATCAATTGCTCAGATTGGTTGGGCGACCAGCTCTTGGAAGAGTCCTGGTTGTGCCAAACTTCTTCCATTTGAGAAATATGGAAGCCTGGTTTTTGCTCTGATATGCATTATCAGCTGTGAGGCCTTTTATAGAGAGGTGTGTGCCTTTCCAAATCATGTCCAATCAATTTAATTTACCACAGGTGGACTCCAGTCAAGGTGTAGAAACATCTCAGCAATGATCAAGAGAAATGGGAGGCACCTGAGCTAAATTTCAAGTGTTGTTGCAAAGGGTCTGAATACTTATGTAAATGTGATATTTCCGTTTTTTCTTTTTAATAATTTTAAAGACATTTCTACAATTCTGTTTTCACTTTGTCATTATGAGGTACGGACATAACAAAACTGAAAAGTGAAGAGGGTCTGAATACTTTCTGAACGCACTGTATGTGTATATATATATATACCTAACCTACCTAACCCTAACCTTTGACTGTAAAGTACTAGTGCTTATAACACAACTGTCTACACAAAAATGATTGCACTGTATTGGAATTGAAGAATTAAGTAGTGGCATAGATCAGTGAATTTGACCATCTTTGTCTTCTTCCTCAACCCCCAAATATTAATAGAAAAGAAGCTCACAGAACAGCAGCTCGCGTCCCTAAGCCACTCCTGTGTTGCCTTGGCTGTGTGCTTAGGGTCATTGTCATGTTGGAAGGTGAACCCTCGGCCCAATCTGAGGTCCTGAGCTCTGTGGAACAGGTTTTCATTGAGGATATCTCTGTACTTTGCTCCATTCAGCTTTTCCTCAAACCTGACCAGTCTCCAAGTCCCTGCCGCTGACAAACAGCCCCACAGCATGAGGCTGCTATGAGTACACTTTACTTTTGGGACGGTACTCTGCAGGTGATGAGCAGAGCTGGTTTCTTTCAAACATGATGAGAATCTTGTTTCTCAGAGTCTGAGGGTCCTTTAGGTGCGGTTTTGCAAATTCCAGTTGTGTTTTCATGTGTCTTCACTGAGGAGAGGATTGAGTGTGGCCACACCGCCATAAAGCCCATATCGGTAGAGTGTTGCAGTGATGTTTGTCCTTCTGTAGGTTTTTCCCATTGGCATATATGATCATGGAGCTCAACTAGAGTGACCATCAGGTTCTGATGGTCACAGGTTCTGATGGTCACTAGTCTAGACAAGGCCCTTCTCCATCAATTGCTCAGATTGGTTGGGCGACCAGCTCTTGGAAGAGTCCTGGTTGTGCCAAACTTCTTCCATTTGAGAAATATGGAAGCCTGGTTTTTGCTCTGATATGCATTATCAGCTGTGAGGCCTTTTATAGAGAGGTGTGTGCCTTTCCAAATCATGTCCAATCAATTTAATTTACCACAGGTGGACTCCAGTCAAGGTGTAGAAACATCTCAGCAATGATCAAGAGAAATGGGAGGCACCTGAGCTAAATTTCAAGTGTTGTTGCAAAGGGTCGGAACAGGGGCGTCGCTATGGTTTTCAGGCCCCGCCGCAATCATGTAAAAAACGCATCCGGGGCCCCCTCTCCCTCACCGGGCCCTTGAAATCGTCCTAACCTTCCCCCCGTTACGGTGCCCCCGAGTCTGAATACGTATGTAAATGTGATATTTCAGTTTTTTCTTTTTAATAAATGTACATAAAATTATTTTTAATTAAATTAAATTAAATAATATTCCGTTTTCACTTTGTCATTATGAGGTATGGAGTGTAGATTAAGGAGAGAAAAAAAGGAATTTAAACAATTGTAGTATCAGGCTGCAAAATACCAATATTGAAAAAAAGTGAAGGGGGTCTGAATACTTTCTGAATGCACTGTATTTTATATATATTAGTCCATTGTATGCACCAGTTGTAAGGTCTGTGTCTGGTTTCTCTCAGGGAGTGATCTGGACCGAGTGGAAAGGCAAAGATTTCTCCATTCCCTTCACTGAGATGAAATTCCGCCCAGCCTCATTCAGGCCCTGAACAAGAGGATAAACGCATTAGTGCAGGAGAGCCGGGATGCCCTCCCATTATGGACAAAAACATAAACACACCTTCATTGAAAAACAAGTATCATTACTGCATGTACAGTATAACCACACAATCAGGCTACATAACTACATCTACACACGTACTCCAATTGAAATGTCAAGGCCAGAAAGGCTGTTTATCTGTAGTCTATATGTAGTATTGTACAGTGTTTGGATTCTCTGTGGTCTGTACATTGTGACGCCCCACAGCAGCTGGAGGAAATATTATGCACTGCCTTTTTCTCTACGATGAAGCTGTGGACTAGGTGTCACATATATCAGCTTGAACTATCAAGAATCTGATGTTTGTATTCATATTGCTTTGTATGTACCTTATTTCAGTGTCTTACAGAGAGATTTCATAAAATAAAAAAAGCTGTAAGTTGGTATATGTTAGTGTTTTAACATTCTATGGCTCTATAACAAATGTATATTTGATATAAAAAACATGCTAACATTATAATTTAGCGCAATTATTATTTTTATTCATTTATTTTTTCCAAGTGTTTCTCACCTACCAGCTTTGTAGGCAATAAAAGAAAATAATATTGCAAAGCAAAAAGTGTTGCAAAAATGCTCAGACACACAATCTGTAATGAACTGCTCCAAGACACGAAGGCTGAGAATCCAAATGCAGTGTTTATTCAGAGGGTAATCCACAATCACAGTCCACACACAGACAAAAGTCATATACCAGCAAAGCAGTCCAAACAATAACAAGAAACACATACAAAGAGTAATCCAGAACGATGGGCAGAATAAAGCAAGACACAGGAAACCAGGAAATAACAGCTTAGAAATGCAGTACTTAACGCATGCAAGACTTCACAATGAATGACTGAATGAACCAGGCTATAAAGAGTGCGCAAACAGGCTTAATGTGATTCAGGTGAAAACAATTCAGGCATGATGAGTTTGGGTAATGGGAAATGGGGACTGAGGCAGAGTCGGCGGAGCAGGGGGAGCAGGGAAACCAGGGCAGAGCCGGCAGAGCAGGAGACCACCAGAGTGGAGCAGGAAGAGCCGAAGACCACCAAGGCAGAGCGGGTGGAGCAGAAGACAAACAGGGCAGAATGGGCAGAGCTGAGGACCACCATGGCGGAGAGGGTGGAGCAGGAAGCCACAGCAGAGTTGGAGACCCCAGGGGAGCTAAAATATAGAGCACAGTTTATTTACTGCCCCAAGGGCCAAGGCAGGGAACTCAGTTAAGTTCAGGGTCAACTTCTTGGACAGGAAGCATAGAAAGTTCACGAACTGCCTTCCTGGCCATGGCAAGACAGGTAGAGTGTTCACGAATGGCCTCCTTGGCCATGGCAGTGTAGACAGACAATTCAAAGATGGCCTCCATGGTTGAGACAGGACAGGCAGAGAGTTCATGGGACGGCTTTCTTGGCCGTGACAGGACAGAAAAAGGGTCCAGAGACAGCCTCCATGGCTGTGACAGGATGGAAAAAAGGTCCAGAGACGGCCTCCATGGCTGTGACAGGGCAGACTGTGAGTTCAAAGGTGGGTGCCACCACCTTGAGAGGAGCTGGAGCGGACGCCGCTGCCTCGGGAGGAGCTGGAGAACTATACGTGGCCCAAACACACCAGAATGCAAGCCCCAAATTGGGACGTGTAACCACCAGGGAAATGACTTCGGGAGCCGCGGAGCTTGAGAGCGCTGAGGCCACTGGGATGCCTGCCACTCGTACCGACATCAGCGGTGGGTCTGCCACACTGGACACCAGTCTCGACTGCCTGGGCAATGCCTCAGTCACTTCAAGTGCAACGTTCGTGAATGCTCTGAAGACTCTGGACTGGCGGCCATCTTGTGAAGAGACTCTGGAGTGGCGGATATGATGGGTAGAGGCACTGGGATGGCAGCCATGAAAGAATGAGGCTCTGGGATGGCAGCCATGACTGGACAAGGCTCTGGAATGGCAGCCATGAAGGATTGAGGCTCTGGGATGGCAGCCATGTTGTGAACAGTCACTGGAGTGGGAACCACAGGACAGGAAGGTGCTGAAAGCACAGGACTATTGACTATTATGGCAGGACGTGCTGGAAACCATGATGGGCCTACTTCCCTTCAAAAAATTGTTTAGGGGAGGTGTCCTCCTCAACCTCCCCAACAGTGAAGGGGAAGCCAGTTAGGAGCAAGGCATAATCAATCAATTCCACAAGCGACCCTCGAGGACAATCACGGAGGAGTTAAGCTTGGAGTTGTTCATTGAGTACATAATAAAAATCAAACAGTGCAAAATATGGGAAATCAGTAAGATATGCAATGTCTAAAAAGCAGTGGTGGACAGTAACGGAGTAGCTTTACTTCGTTACTGTACTTAAGTACATTTTTCGGATGAATTCATATTCCGCTGCCGTAACGTTAACAGTTTTATTAAAATGCTTCACATTTA